TTCCCACCAGCAGTGAATGAAAGTTCCTGTTGCTCTATATCCTCACCAGTATTTGATGTCAGTGTTATGGATTTTAACCATTCTAACTGGTATATAGTGATATTTCATTGCCTTAATTTGCAGTTCCCTAATAACATGATATTCAGCATCTTTTCATAGGCTTAGTTGCCACTATATATCTTCTGGGTAATGTGTCTATTCAGACAGATTTTGATATTTGGGGAATGATGGATTTGTAGAATTAAGTGAAGAAATGTTTGCCCTGCTGCTGTTTTTAGAGACAGATGGTATAGAAATCATCCAAGTTGGTGATTTATGTTCCAGAAGGTTTTTAATTATTAATTTCTTTAATAGATATAGGGCTGTTGAGGTTATCTATCTTACCTTGTGTAAGTAGATTATGTCTTCTGAGGAATTGGTCCATTTAAAGTTATTTGTGAGCATGATGTTGTTCGTAATATTTCTTTATTATCCTTTTAATGTCCATAGGATCAGTGTGATAGCCAGTCTTTCATTTCCAATATCAAAAATTTGTGTTTCCTTTTTTTTCTTGAGTGGCTAGCCAGGCATGGCTAGAGGTTTATTAATTTTACTGATTTTTTTTGTCCCCACAGAACCAGCTGATCCTAGTTTTTTAAATGGCATAAAATATAAACTAGAAGGATCTATAGCAAAATGTTAATCATTGTCTTTGGATGATGGGATTATGAATAATTTTTCTTTTCTCCTTTGTACTTTTCAATATAGTTAATATGTATTTTCATAATGAAAAATTATTTTTTAGTTGTATTGCCTACTGATCACTATCTTTCCCTCAAACCAACACAGTTATAACCTGTTTCATGATTTTCATGAAAAATCTGTCTCAGTATTCTTCATTTTCATTTTTCACTGAACTTTGTCATTAAATTTATAGCCTATGTATAAAGGGTACAAAAAGCATAAAAACACTCAAATTATTAGTAATGAGATTATTTAGAAGAAAATGAAAATAACATCTATTGAGGATGTTTAACACATGCTTTAGTTTTTACTACAGCCTTAACATGAATTATTATTCTCTTTTTCAAACAAAGAATCTGAAACCCAAAGAAGTTAACTTGCCTGACTGAGGCCACATAAGTATGTAGGAAAGCCCATGGTTCAGTACCAGTGGTCTCTGATGTCAAACTCTGAATTAGATAAAATGATTCAAGCTAGATTTTAACTATAAGAGTATATAGCCATGGTGGAAAGGTTGATCTTTACCATTCATTTATTGTTAGTTTTTGTTATGACATTGCCTATTACTAATAAAGCTATTTCTCTAAGATACATAATTTAACCTTTAGTTTATGCATTAAAGTTTCAAAAACAGTGATAATGTCTTTTAGAGATGAATATCTTATTCACTTGTCAGATTTTGTTTGAGATCGAATGAATGTTTTTCATCATTTATTTAATTTTTAATGACATGAAACATAACTTGGGAAGAGTAGAAATCTGGCCTAGAGTTCATTTTTCAAAAGCTATTTTCCCGTATGCAAAAATTTATCCCACCAAACATCATTTGTTTGGTTTCAAAATCAAAAGTAATATAGAAAGAGTAATTATAAGTAAAGTCATACATTTTGAACTCAGAAAAATTTAATGGTCTTTATATTCAATTGATTATTGAATGCCATTTATTTGACTGTGTAGGCATTTGTTGTAATTAACATTTTTCTTGAAGAACTCCTAAAGTAACAAATGAGTGACAATCTCAGCATGCCTTGATACTATCTTACAATTGGCAATTGTCCTAATCAATCTAAAATTGTTGGCCCTTGATTCAGCATATTTATCACTGAAACTTTGTGAAACCTTAACAGCTATTTTTCAAAAATATCCCTTCCCCAAGTCTATAAGCTATTTTCCAAAAATTATTTAATAAGGCACTGGTTAAAAAAGAAAAGGCAGTAAGATTTCCTTGACCTATCAAAATTATGTTATGCTTGGCATATGAATCATATTTTTAGCACAATATTTCCAAAACAAACAACTCCAAAATCTTTTGCACGCTTATGGGTGATCTGGTTCAGCTGGACTGCAGGCTGTGAGTGGGGAATAACATATTCGAGTAAGCGTTAGGTCCCAAGTTCCTCTTATGTTGTATGGTGATTCTGTCCTAGTGAGGGGGGGAGGTTTGAAACCAGCATAAGCCTACATAGCTACAGTTCTATAGGAGATGGGTTTTTAATTGTACAGATTGTTCACACTTTCTGGTTTTTCAGGTCATTACAGAAAGTGACCAGTTTTCTTAATTAAAATTTTTGGTTTTTTCCATTATAGTTTAAGTTCTGGAGTACATGTGCAGATCTTGCAAGATTGTTGCATAGACACACATGTGATGGTGGTTTTTCGCCTTCATCCCCCTGTTACCTACATCTGTCATTTCTCCCAATGTTATCCCTCCTTAACCTCCCGACCCCCTGGTATCCCTTCCCTTGCCCCTCACCCCCAACAGACCCCAGTATGTGATGTTCCCCTCCCTGTATCTGTGTGTTCTCATTGTTCAACACCCAGCTGTGAATGAGAACATGCGGTGTTTGTTTTTCTGTTCTTGTGTCAGTTTACTGAGAATGATGGTTTTCAGATTCATCCATGTCCCTACAAAGGACATGAACTCATCCTTTTTTATGGCTGCATCATATTCCATAGTGTATATGTGCCACATTTTCTTTATCTGGTCTCTCATTGATGGGCATTTGGGGGTGTTCTAGGTCTTTGCTATTGTAAACAGTGCCACAGTGAACATATGTGTGCATGTGTCTTTATAATAGAATGATTGATAATCCTTTGTATATATACCCAGTAATGGAATTGCTGGGTCAAATGGTACTTCTGTTTCTAGATCCTTGAGGAATCACCACACTGTCTTCCACAATGGTTGAACTAATTTACACTCCCACCAATAGTGTAAAAGCATTCTATTTCTCCACATCCTCTCCAGCATCTGTTGTCTCCAGATTTTTTAATGATTGCCATTCTAACTGTTGTGAGATGGTATCTCAGTGTGGTTTTGATTTGCATTTCTCTAATGACCAGTGATGATGAGCATTTTTTCATGTGTTTGTTGGCCTCATATATGTCTTCTTTTGAAAAGTGTCTTCATATCCTTTGCCCACATTTGAATAGGTTTGTTTGTTTGTTTTCTTGTAAATCTGTTTTAGTTCTTTGTAGATTCTGGATATTAACCCTTTGTCAGATGAGTAGCTTGCAGAAAATTTTTCCCATTCTATTGGTTGCTGGTTCACTCTCATGATTGTTTCTTTTGCTGTGCAGAAACATTGGAGTTTAATTACATCCCATTTGTCTATTTTGGCTTTTGTTGACAATGCTTTTGGTGTTTTAGTCGTGAAGTCCTTGCCTATGCCTGTGTCCTGAATGGTATTGCCTAGGTTTTCTTCTAGGGTTTTTATGGTGTTAGGTCTTATGTTTAAAAGTTTAATCCATCTGGAGTTAAATTTTGTATAAGGTGGCCAACATAGTGAAATCCTGACTCTACTAAAAACACAAAAGAAACTAGTTGGGCATGGTGGTGGCACCTGTAGTCCCAGCTACTTTGGAGGCTGAGGCAGGAGAATCACTTGAACCCAGGAGGCAGAGTTGCAGTGAGCCAAGATTGTACCATTGCCCTCCAGCCTGGGTGACAGAGTGAGACTCCTTCTCAAGAAAAAAAATATATTTCTGCAAACTGATCTTATTAAATACATGCACAATGATAATAGGATTGAAAAAATAGTGACTGATATTTTCAGCAAACTGACACAAGAACAGAAAATCAAACACATGTTCTCACTCATAGGTGGGTGTTGAACAATGAGAACACAGGGAAACAGGGAGGAGAGCGTCACACACTGGGGTCTGTTGGAGGGGCCAAGGGAGGGATAGTGCAGGGGTGGGGATGTTGGGGAGGGATAACATGGGGAAAAATGCCAGATGTAAGTGACAGGGATATGGAGGCAGCAAACCACATTACCATGTGTGTACCTATGCAGCAACCCTGCATGATCTGCACATGTACCCCAGAACCTAAAGTACAATTAACAAAAAAGAAAAAATAATAATGACTGGTAATTCTATCTTCTTTATAACTGGCCTTTTTATGGTGTTTCATAGTTTATAAAGTATTTTTACATTTTTTCATTTAATCCATAAATAAGTTAGATCATGTGATCCTTATTTGCATGTGAGGTAATTCAAACAACTTTGTGGCTTGCAAAGGCTAGTAAATGGGATTCCACCCCACATTTTCAGAGACTTCAAATCCATTTATTTTTCCATTACCCTATATTGCATCTTAGTTGCTATTCCCTGCTGTGTCCAAGTTTATGTAGATAGGTTGGATTATAAGGAATATTCTTCTGGGAAAAAAAAATTCCATATTTAAATTAAATAATATACCTTATTTGTTTACCTAATTTTTACTCTAACTCTTACAACAAAGCCTTTAAACAATATGATAAAAATTTGTTCTGACTTTTGAGATACGGAGTTTTACTTGTTTTCTTGGGCATCATTCCGTATTCTGAAATCTGTGGGCTTTTCTGGTGCTTTCTTCTCTTTCTCTATTTTATGCTGTCTTTCCTGGTGTGCAAAATTTATTTCCTCCACATATCTCTCCCTTTGTTCTGATTTCTTTCATAGCAAAAATAAAGTTAAAGCACAACGATTAGTCTAATGTTTCAGAAAGTTAGATGATACTTAAAACCCTATTGTTGGAAAATTGTTAATTTATAACCAGCTCATTGTTCTTGCTATTTTGTCCTATAATAGTGCATATTACTCTCCTTACAGCCTTTTCTGTTTATTATTTCTAGATGTCCTGAGTTTAATTTTAAAGTTAGTTCTTCTCCCCTTACTGTTAGTAGTTAGTTTTTAAAAATTTAGTATTATTTGAGCCATTGCTGTGGAGAGTGGTAATTTTATTTCTTTTAATAAAGTTAGCATATTTAATGAATTTTTTCCCTCTTTTAAAGACTGTGAACCAGAAGAGCTGACTGACTGGTCTATGGATGAAAAATGTTCATTTTGTAACCTACAGAGAGAAGCAGTCAGTGTAAGTTTTAGTGCTATGAAATATCTTTAAGCTAATGCACAATTGTAACACAGTTTTTTAAAAATTTTAATTTGTTTTGAAAAGTTGTGACTCACAGTAGAAGTTTAAATATTTGATTTTGGTAAACGAAAATATTTTAAAGTCTTACATTAGAAGTCTAACATTTAGCTTAACTTGCAGCTGAAAATCCTAGAAATCTCATCTTTTTTTTACTTCACATTTCCTTCTTACCGTTCTCTGACTCATGAAGTTTAGTTCAGGTCTATTTTATATTTAGGTATAAAGGGGTAAGCTTGCAGGCCTACTTTGGTCTGAGACCACTCTACAATCCGATTTCTTAGAAATTAATAGTAGGGGTATAATGTGCTAGTTTTAGCCTTTCACTTACTCTGGAAGTCTTTTGGATATCATAACTATCTCCTGTGTAAATGATGAAATATGTAAGTGTCTACTGTATACAGGGCATAAACAATGCAACCAGCATATTTTTGTGTGGTGCGAAATCCTGATTTCTTTTCTACTGTTGTGATAAGGGCTGAGAAGAAATGAGAACTTAAGAACCTGTACTGATTTTGATCAGATTAGTGGGTAAACGCATCTGCTTTGTTGTTAAAACTCTCATAGGATTACATTACTGGCATGACAATATAGTGAATTTATTTACCAGTATGTTTTATATGCTCTTTTTTTTTTTTAAGTATAGTTTTGCTAAGGAATAGTTTATTTTGAACCCTCTGTCATAGCTACTTCTTTTTTCCTGACTCTTATTCTGAATTTTTTGTTCCCTCTATCTAATTCGATATAATTTAAAGGGTAGAACAAATGAGCATTTAGAGCATTTTTTTTTGGTCATTTTAAATGGAATTCCATGTTTGAATTAAAAAATGATTTTGTATGTTGTTGTTTTCTTGTACTTTTAGGATTGTATACCATCTCTTGATTCTTCACAGTCAACACCAACAGAGGAGCTATCATCTCAGGGCCAGTCCAACACTGATAAGATTGAATGCCAAGCAGAAAATTACCTAAATGCACTCTTTCGAAAGAAAGGTAATATTGGTATGCTTTCTCATATGAAATTTGCAGTAGAGATATAAAATGTTTGAATTTTGTTTACACAAAAGTGTTTTATGTGTCAGCCTCTCTACTTCATTCTTTATTACCTTTCTTTATTCTTAATTTTCCTTTATATTTTTAGGGAGAGTAAGAGTCTCAATCATTATACTAGCCTTGTATTAGGCATTCCTGTTCAGCATTCTATTTTCAGATATCTCTCTGACTTTATCTCACATTTTCCTCGTCTACTATAGGCAGCTTTAAAATTTTTTCTTATGCTTCTGGTCTTTCTTATTGTATTGCTGTTCTGAACACTTCAAAATTTGTTTAATGTTCAATAAGTTATAGATACATAATATTCTGTTGCAAAGCTATACATTTTAATGTAATGGTTAAATCACTTATCAGCTTGGTTGGACTATATTTGCTGACTTGCTATTTCAGTATTTGTTTGGTAGCTTAAATTTTCTTAGTAGACATTAAAAAAAATCTATGTTCTTTTTTGCTTCTTGTCTCTCTAAACTACTCAAACCAAATAGCTCTTGTTTTACTTGTTACCTTACTTGACACATACATATCAAGCAGAATTAGCATTTATACTTTAATTACTTGGGAGAATTATAGAAATGTAGAACCTGTCATGTTTTGTTCTTGGCTGTTCCCACAGTAATAGAGTGTCTTATTTTTACCACCTGGACCTTTGGAGTAAGTTACCGTGTGTGTTTAGGTTGGGGGATTATCCTCTCTCTCAGCTTTGGGATTGAGAAAACATTACCATATTGTCATCATCTACTTGTTTACCCTATTTTACTCCTTTTTTCAATGACATGTCACCAGATATTTTTCTACTGAATTGATAACTTTCATGTTTAAATCAATAATGTTTAAAATAGTACTTGCCTTTGATAAGAGTTTTGTTTAGTCTTAAGTATTCTAAGTTCTTTTATATGTTGAAATATGGAAATCGTCTTATTAGAAGAGTCATTGTATAATTTAAAGACATAAAATTAAGAACTATTATTTTTAAGAGCAAGGGATGGACAATCTTTTCCTGTGTGTTACTATTGAGAAATTTGCATTATCTTTAAAAATCAAATTCTTTTTAAAAATTTTTAGTACAGTGTTAAAAATGTTTTACAGCCAGGTACAGTGGCACATGCCTATAGTCCCAGCTAATAGGTAGGCTGAGGTGGGAGAATTGCTTCAGCCCAGTTGTTCAAGGCCAGCTTGGGCAACAAGACCCCATCTCTTTAAAACAGTAATTTTGCATGCTTTCTTTAAGGATTTTATAATTTATTTTTATAATTATTTTAGAAAAAGGATTTTATAATTAATTTAGAAATTTTATTCTGTTAGTATTCACTTACAGAAAGAATTATGTTATCAGACTTGTATCACTAAAGGAACTGGAAGAAATATACACATTTACACACATACACACAGTAAGTTTCATTTACCTTGGAACTCATTACTCAGTCTCCATTTCCTTTGAGTCATTTGTAATGATAATAACTAGAATTATCAATAATAATAGACTTTAATTTTCGATAGTGTGGAGTTAGCCTATGCTCCATTGCCCTATTAAGAGTAATCAGTAAAAACTTGGTACTATTTCAGCTGATTCAAACATCTGGGTCTCCAAGAGGTCTCCTACCAATGGTTGGGTGAGTGTTCTTGGATATTTAGTGACCTCTCCATTTCTGGATTTCAACATCTTTTGAAAGACTGCAGAGTTTTTAAACTAAAGATGCTTCCTAGTGTTTTTGCTTTGTTTTAGGCCTTTATTAACTTCTTTATTTGTAGTTCATCATCACTTTCCAGATTTAATTAACCATAAAGGTTTTTCTACTAGTTTAATTGGGCTTTTTAAATTTGCTTTCAGTAAAATAATTTTAGAGATTTCCAAATGGTCTGATCAAGATGGGGCTCGAATATAATAATATCTTTTAAATGGTCTTAACTCCTTTATTAGTTTGTCATTTGAGTTCTACTATTAACTCTCCTTTCAAGTAAAAGGCAAGAAGTATGATTTTAAAGACAGGAAATACTTCTGAGTCTTTGGAGTAGCATGTAACATGTTGTTAAAATATCTTTTTAGTGCAGATTTTTTTCCCTGAAAATATCCCAAATGCGGTCATTTTTAGGGATTGTGGATATGAATAGCATTAATATTCCTGATACTTTAAATCTTTTGCTTAGTTTGAGTAACATATGCATGTTGATCATCTTGCTAAAACATAAAAAAAATCTTTTAATATTCTTATGGTAACGAACTTATTGTCTTTCCCAACTTAACGCTTTTTGAGATGGTGCTAATGATAAATATAACCTATTATTGTTGAGACTGTCACTACCTGGGATAATGATGATGATTGCTATCAACAGTTATGATTGAGCACTAAACCTTTTTAATGCTCTATCTCATTTAATGCCAAAACAGTATTAAGAGGTAGGTACTGTTTAACAGATAGGAACAATGAAGCTCAGAGAAGTTATAAACGTGATTTTTAGTTCTCTGTGATGAACGTTTCAGCCATCCAGAAGAAGTTCAAAAAATGAACAGTGTTCTGTGTGACGAGCACCTAGATTCTTTTAAGTACTAGGTAGAAAACACTTCCCATTCTCTGCTAGTTAGCAGACTAGGATTAGAATTAATTTTATTTGAATTAAGCAGGCTAGAGAGGAACTATGAGGAACACTCTGTATTTCTCATAGGTTTCTATTTTTTCTTCATATGGCTTCTGAACAATTTCAGTGAGTAATCCCTTACAGTGCTTAATAATAGGTAGGTAGGTTGTAGGAATGCCACTGTCATTAAACCTTCTCAAGAATGGTGGAAGCTTATTACTTAAATTCAGCTCAGGCAATTCATTGTATTTAGAAGCTTGTCAAAAATACTCTTTCAGGGTTGAAAAAGTTGTGCAAAGAGGAGGATGTTCTAGGACAAAGGTAAACTTTTAACTAGTTTTGCATATTCTTTACTTTAGAAATGTTTAAAAATTGAATTCCTTCTAGAGGTTAACTCTAAAATTAACTAGAGTGCTAAGTAGAGTCAAATCTGCATAACAGGGACTTTGTTTTGTTCTTTGCAGAATCTTAGCAACTAAGACAGTACCTGCTTCTGAGGTCCTGAGTTAATATTTCTTTGGTGAATAAATGAGTACTAAGATAAAATATCCCTAGATATCTTTCAGTTTCTCTAAATATTCAGTAGTGTTAGTTACTTCTTCTGTTTTGAAGAAGTAAATTATTTTGTATGTACATATATTTTACCTTTCTCTGCTTTGTACTTAAAGTATTACTGTGTATAGTTTGAATATTAGTTTGTTTGGAATGTTGATAATCATAGGCATATAGATATAAAATGGCTTGTTCACAGGTTTCCTTATAAAATGTAAACTAAGTTATTTTGGCCGTTAGCTGCAGATTCTCTAATCACCTGAAATGTGTCACTGGCTTATGATTCAGGGAAATGTCTCATCTTTTATTTTTAAAATGAAGGCTGCTGGACTTGACTAAATTGGACAGATAATATGTACGTAGCAGCTCAGCAAATCATACTGCTATCAATACAATAAAACAAAGCCATCCTTTATCAAAATGTAATATATTTTTCCTGCTTTCTTTTAATACCCACATATGCTTAGCATTCATGTACCCACAATTCTGTGTTTCTTTTTCTGAAGACCTTCTCGATGGATTTGACTGATGGATTTGATGCCATTAGTTGAAAGCTCCTATTAATGAACTCTTTTCTCTTAAATTAATTGATAGCCAAGTTTTATATTAAAGTTTTCCATGCTTTTTGGGAACACAGGCCATTTTTCTTTCAAACTGTTAATGTTTTAGTTTTACAATATAGCAGGATATAAAAACTGGTGTGGTTCACTAATCAGTTGGGTTATGACTGATGATAAAGTAATTGATTTCTTTAAAACAGGTAGTGTTAATCCTTTAGATTGCTTTTCTCTAAATGCAGACATCCTTGATTGACTATGTAAATATAACATGATTCATTCAGGCGTTAAGCGTTTCTCATATAAGTGTTACTTTGTGATGTCATCGTGGTCATACTTTGAATATCTCTTATATGTGTTTCCCTTTTTGAAACTCTCAGGGAATTTTGAGTGCCATAAAATAACTCATATACCGTTATGAGCTGCATTCAGAGGTGTTCATGAAAAGATTTTTCTTCTTTTCTTACTAGATACTTGTAAGATAGTTAAACAAATTTGAAGAACACACTCAAAATTAGAACTGGATTGAAAACTTTCTACATTTCTGATAAAAATCTCGCTTTTAGTTGCAGTGCCATCCATAGAAGGAATAAAGAGAAATCTATCAGGTCATCCATCATCACCCAGATTCTCATCTTCCTTTGGCTTTTTAATTCCCTAGTTCTTCCCAGTCTCCTACCCCTTTACAAGCACCCAAATTCTTCCTACTGTGTCTTCTGGATCTTCAGTCTTTCATCAGCAGAATTCCTCAGTCTCTTCTCTAAGTGTTCTTCCGTCTTTATTGCTGTAATGGAAACCTATGTGTTCATAAAGGATGCTTTTGTAGCTTCTTACCTGCCGATTGTTTTTAATTCCTTACTTTATGTAACATAAGGAGGCATCTGGCAGGCAACCTGCAAGATCTTTGTATCTGCCCCACTTGCTCAAACACATGACCTTCTTTGAAGCACATGACCTTAAAGTATTCCATCTACATTATCATCTCTACCAGGCTTTTTACTTTGTTCCTCCTAAATACTATTCCTGTCATAGCTCATGTTGACTTCAAATTCTGTGTAGCTGATACATCTAACACCCTGGCCTCTCATTACTTGATCTCTTCGTTTCCAGTGCTCTTTTTCCCTTTGTTTACGCTAGCCACTTTTTCCCATATTCTTATACCTTTATCACCTCCCAAATCCAATTTTACCTATCCCTTTTTCTGACTACCATCTTATCCCAATACTCTCATTCCAGTATTTATTTTTAATTTTTTAA